TTCATGTTATAATCTCGTTCATTCACTTAACGATATCCTTCACTTACGCTATGATATCTTTCACTTACGTTATGATATCCTTTACCTACGCTATGATATTCTTCTACGTGATGCGTGTGTATTCACCTAGTTGTGCTTGCGGGGGTTGAGCTCTGGCTCTTTGGTCCCGCTTCTCAATTGTCAATCAACTAATGTACAGGTTCCTGAGCCTATTGGCACTGAAAAATTATTTCTAATGTCTCTATGGCTCAGTTGGGCACTCCAGTTCCACCTGTGTCCTCTAGTGCGTGTGCCCCTTGTGTTAAATAAACTGTCTTTATCTAAACCTGTCAATTACTTTGAGAATCTTGCATGTGGTAATCTTGTCCCCTCTAACTCTTCTGTCTTCCAGCGACGTGAGATTTAATTCCCGTAGTCTCTCCTCATAGCTCATACCCCTTAGTTCGGGTACTAGTCTGGTGGCAAACCTTTGAACCTTTTCCAGTTTAGTCTTATGCTTGACTAGATATGGACTCCATGCTGGAGCTGTATACTCCAGGATTGGTCTGACATATGTGGTATACAAAGTTCTGAATGATTCCTTACACAAGTTTTTAAAAACCGTTCTTATGTTGTCCAAACTGGCATATGCCGCCGATGTTATTCTCTTGATATGGGCTTCTGGCGACAGTTCTGGCGTGATATCAACCCCCAGGTCTTTCTCTCTGACTCTTGAAGAATTTCATCTCCCAAATGATACCTTGTATCTGGCCTCCTGCTCCCTTCACCTATCTTTCTTACATTACATTTGTTGGCGTTAAACTCTAACAACCATTTGTTCGACCATTCCTTCAGTTTGTCCAGGTCTTCTTGAAGCCTCAAGCTGTCCTACTCTGTCTTAATCCTTCTCATAATTTTGGCATCAGCAAACATTTAATTGGTTGTGTGTTTGTGTGTGTATTCTCCTGTATTAAGTTTGTATGTATAAAAATGTATTCTTAATGTGTATTTAAATTTATTAAAAATAAATGACAAAAGACGTAATTTATTTTGCAGTTAAGTACAGATTGAAGTGTCAATAATAACGACTCAACAAGGGAAGTGAAACAACTTTGAACCTGGCCACCACTGCTCTACACAGCTATACTCATAAGTACGCATTTGTACTTATCACGACCAAGTGTGAGATAAAGTTAAACCAAGTGCTTAATAAACTCACTTTCCCCCTTCTCTAATGGCACTTGGAGATGATCATCACATCCTGTATATGGTGGTGGGTTGAGGTCCTGCTGCTTCTCCCCTCTCTCTCTCTCTGTCTGTCTGTCTGTCTCTCTCTCTCTCTCTCTCTCTCTCTCTCTCTCTCCCTCTCTCTCCCTCTCTCTCCTCCCCTCTTACGTGGCCATTAACCACACACAACCAACATGTTAATTACTATAAATTTCTCAAGTGTCGTCACCACTCACTGTAACGGAGGTTTCCCCTGCGTCAGAGTCGAGGGTTCAAGTCGCTTCCATGTGGCCTCCTTGTGGCCTCCTAGTGGCCTCCTTGTGGCCTCCTTGTAGCCTCCTTCTGGCCTCCTAGTGGCCTCCTTGTGGCCTCCTTGTGGCCTTGTGGCCTCCTTCTGGCCTCCTAGTGGCCTCCTTGTGGCCTCCTTGTGGCCTCCTTGTGGCCTCCTTCTGGCCTCCTAGTGGCCTCCTTGTGGCCTCCTTGTGGCCTCCTTGTGGCCTCCAAGTGGCCTTCTTGTGGCCTCCTTGTGGCCTCCTAGTGGCCTCCTTGTGGCTTCCTTGTGGCCTCCTTGTGGCCTCGAACGCCGTTCCGTCCTCGAGTTTACAGACACGTTCCTGTTGTGATATTGTGTTAAATCATTCCTACAAATGCTGCTCTCCTAAACACATTCTTCTTCTTTATGACGTTTTTAGTTCACACATTCCCCCCTAATACTTCTGCCACGTCACACCTTCATAAGGACCCGGATGTAGTTTTTTATTTAAGTGGGTGGTGGTGGGGAATGACGTGGTTTGGGAGCATGGTTGGGGGGGGGGGATGGGAATGGAAGAGGGGGGGTCTTCGTGGGAGGGGATGGAAGGGCAGTAACGCCGACGTGTTCAGGCTGTGCTCGTTACCAGTGACAGCTCCAGGGCGTATATTGTATGTTGATGGTAACGGCCGCGCGAGATGGCTTCCGTCCTGAATCCCAGAACGTGGAACAGAAGACAAAGAGCTCAGACCTCCTCGAGGACACAGACGTACCATCGCGAGGACAGAGACTCACAACACAGAGAGTGAACACAGACTTATTATCATGGGACACAGACTATGGATTGCTATACGCTAACCTTACGCAAGCGACGCTTATCCTCAGAGGTTATGAAATCACCGACGATTCAGGGATTGCGTATGTCAGGTCTGAGAGGGGAAAATATGGCTTACATGACGGCGTAATCTTACGCCAGCACGCTATTCGTGTCCGCTCCAGAGTCACTTCTCTCATATCTTTGAGTTTATTGAAGTTTCGAGAATGCTTTTCTAATGCTTCAGGCTTTGATTTTTCCTCTTCAGAAAATTGTATCACACAATAGAGCAGCGAAACCTCTTGTACACTAGAGACTCAGGAACACCATCATAGAAGTGAAAAAAAAAATCACAGCGTATATCGATGCTAGAAATAAAAAAAATATATTCAACATTGATGGAACCCGAGTACACAACTCTCAAACAATCACATCATCAAACAAACAATGACAGCCTCAAACAAACAATGACAGCCTCAAACAAACAATGACAGCCTCAAACAAACAATGACAGCCTCAAACAAACAATTGCAGTGTCAAACAAACAATGACAGCCTCAAACAAACAATGACAGCCTCACATAAACAACTACACTATCAAACACAATTCCCTCCAGCTCTGACAATGGTGAGGATGAAAATTAAATGCAGATTTGAATCCTCTTAAAAACTATTTAATGCCAGAACTGGACCCCCATGATCTGCAGAAATATATAATGTGAGCCGCTCAGGTAGAAAGGAGTAGTCGGGTAAATTATCAGGTAGAAGGTCACCAGGTAGAAAGGTAGAAAAGTAAAAATTAAGTAGAAAGGGAGGTCGTTTACCAACAAGAACACAAAACGAAACATGCTTCTATTTCGCTTGAAGCAATAGACATTGAAAATAGATTCTGTGGATTTCTTCCCATAACGATGTGTAATTTTTTTTATCTATAACGTGACAGACATGATAACACTATTACCTGTCGTTGCGAGGGGTAATTAATGCTAGATATTGAACGAATAAAACGCGTAAAACGGGTATGTAGTCTCAGGTAATTTTGCAAAATATGGAGATTAATTCTACCCCATTTAGCGTTTAATTGAAAAGCATATTTAATGTATTTAAAAGATTTAATCAATGAATATGACCTGCAAAAATTAATTAGAGTGTAGCCAATGTATTATAGAGGTATATAGTGCACGTAGATAACCTCCATGTGTATAGGTGTACACATGGAACAAACCCAGGTACACAGGTATCCGTACATCTGGAGCCAGTCGACGTACACAGATGTACACAGAGATTCAGTCCACATTCATGAGTGTACACACTGGCAGGTGAGTTGAGTAAGTTATACGATGAATCTGGCATACTCAGCCACCAAATTAATCCATCAAGACATACTCAGATAAAGACAATATATTTTGCTTCGAAATATTTTTTTGTACCAACTTCTAGAATTCAAGCATTTATCGCGTGTTCATAGTTCTTATCTAACATATTAAAGCTGATGATCTTCGCTGCAGCCCCCCGGTAACCAAAAAATATAATCAAGCCAAGGGGGTAATTTTCTTTAAAAACTTCATATAACAGATTTTTACATAAATAAAGAGAGTGGATTTTAGTAGAGGGGAAGAGGGGGATAGAGTCGATAGAAGGCAAGAGGGGAAGGGAGGTAAGGATGAGGGGTAAAGATGATGGGTAAATAGTGAGGTAAAAACCTGAAAAACGACCTTATATCCAGGGCAAAATCTCTTTATGAGCGACATGGGCAAGATGTCGACTGCGCAGGATATAAACTCTCCGCCCTCTTACTTAACAACAATTACTTAAGCTCGTGCACTCCTTTATGCATTTTTTAATTAAACTTCAAGAGACGCGGTTCTTCATGACGGTCTAAACTTGAGGATTTCTAATGACCTTGTGAGTCATTAGCACGCTGTTCATGCTAGTTTGTGTCTCACGTGACTAAACCTGTCCTTGGCAGTTCATCCTTTTGCCTCCGGTGGCAGTGCTCTCAGGTCTTATAGCCTGTGTCATAAACACAAACTATTCTATTCACCATCCAATCTGGCGGAGACTCGAACCATCACCATAAATCATAAGAGCTTGAGACTATCTGACCATCAGCCACTGAATCAAATTGCATTCGTGTTTGTGACAGGTCGGAGAGTTTGCTATTGCAGTCGTTTCAATGCGTCCATTGCAAGGTCTGATTTTGAGCAGACTATAATGTTAAACGAACAGGGGGGAAAAGATCTGAGTTTGAGCAGACTATAATGTTAAACGAACAGGGGGAAAAGGTCTGAGTTTGAGCAGACTATAATGTTAAACGAACAGGGGGGAAAAGGTCTGAGTTTGAGCAGACTATAATGTTAAACGAACAGGGGGGGAAAAGGTCTGAGTTTGAGCAGACTATAATGTTAAACGAACAGGGGGGAAAAGGTCTGAGTTTGAGCAGACTATAATGTTAAATGAACAGGGGGGAAAAGGTCTGAGTTTGAGCAGACAATAATGTTAAACGAACAGGGGGGAAATGGCTGAGTTTGAGCATACTATAATGTTAAACGAACAGGGGGGAAAAGGTCTGAGTTTGAGCAGACTATAATGCTAAACGAACAGGGGGGGGAAGGGTAAGGGATAAGTTGGGATCACCCAAAGGTCAGCGGATGTTGACCTTTGGCAATAGCGCTTGCAATAAGCTTGGAAAATTGCATTATCTTTGTTGACCTGACTTTGAACATAAATTTTAGTCTCCAGGGGGGATGAAACGACAGTTTTGAGAGGCAGCAAAGTTTTCGAACACTCTCCTCTTATATGACACGTTGATGAGCTCCTGGCTCTTATATGACACGGTGATGAGTTCCTGGCTCTTATATGACACGGTGATGAGCTCCTGGCTCTTATATGACACGGTGATGAGTTCCTGGCTCTTATATGACACGGTGATGAGCTCCTGGCTCTTATATGACACGGTGATGAGCTCCTGGCTCTTATATGACACGGTGATGAGCTCCTGGCTCTTATATGACACGGTGATGAGTTCCTGGCTCTTATATGACACGGTGATGAGCTCCTGGCTCTTATATGACACGGTGATGAGTTCCTGGCTCTTATATGACACGGTGATGAGCTCCTGGCTCTTATATGACACGGTGATGAGTTCCTGGCTCTTATATGACACGGTGATGAGCTCCTGGCTCTTATATGACACGGTGATGAGTTCCTGGCTCTTATATGACACGGTGATGAGCTCCTGGCTCTTATATGACACGGTGATGAGCTCCTGGCTCTTATATGACACGGTGATGAGCTCCTGGCTCTTATATGACACGGTGATGAGCTCCTGGCTCTTATATGACACGGTGATGAGCTCCTGGCTCTTATATGACACGGTGATGAGCTCCTGGCTCTTATATGACACGTTGATGAGTTCCTGGCTCTTATATGACACGGTGATGAGTTCCTGGCTCTTATATGACACGGTGATGAGTTCCTGGCCCTTATATGACACGGTGATGAGTTCCTGGCTCTTATATGACACGGTGATGAGTTCCTGGCTCTTATATGACACGGTGATGAGCTCCTGACTCTTATATGACACGGTGATGAGTTCCTGGCTCTTATATGACACGGTGATGAGCTCCTGGCTCTTATATGACACGGTGATGAGTTCCTGGCTCTTATATGACACGGTGATGAGCTCCTGGCTCTTATATGACACGGTGATGAGTTCCTGGCTCTTATATGACACGGTGATGAGCTCCTGGCTCTTATATGACACGGTGATGAGTTCCTGGCTCTTATATGACACGGTGATGAGCTCCTGGCTCTTATATGACACGGTGATGAGCTCCTGGCTCTTATATGACACGGTGATGAGCTCCTGGCTCTTATATGACACGGTGATGAGCTCCTGGCTCTTATATGACACGGTGATGAGCTCCTGGCTCTTATATGACACGGTGATGAGCTCCTGGCTCTTATATGACACGGTGATGAGCTCCTGGCTCTTATATGACACGGTGATGAGTTCCTGGCTCTTATATGACACCTTGGTGAGCTTCTGGCTCTTATTTGACACCTTGGTGAGTTTCTGGCTCTTATATGACACCTTGGTGAGTTTCTGGCTCTTATATGACACCTTGGTGAGCTTCTGGCTCTTATATGACAAGATGATGAGCTCCTGGCTCTTATATGACACCTTGGTGAGCTTCTGGCTCTTATTTGACACCTTGGTGAGTTTCTGGCTCTTATATGACACCTTGGTGAGTTTCTGGCTCTTATATGACACCTTGGTGAGCTTTTGGCTCTTATAAAACACCTTGGTGAGTTTCCTACGAGCATATGACACCTTGATGAACACCAAGCTCATATGACACCGAATTGAGCCCAATCTCATATGACACCTTAGTGAGCTCCAAGCTCATATGACACCTTATAGTGAGTATTCTTGTCTCAAAAATCTGGGAACAACCTTCCTAGTGTGATTTGGTGTTTGGCGTAAGGCCTATCAACCTCTGGAGGGTTATTAAGGCCCCTAAACTAGCTGACTCTCCTTCCAACAAGTATACTTTAGTCCTGGACATTGTCCAGGACTAACGTAAACTCGTAACTGAGGTAAACTAACGTAAACTAACGTACACTGTGAAGCTGGATATACCTCTTGGTATAAATATATCTGTGTATATTCATGAACCCATAGGATATCAGATATACTTGGGTCTTCCTTAACGGTATTTTGTAAGATTGAAACCAGGTAGATTTAATGGTATAATAATATATTTTAATGTTATATATGTATGAAATAAATTGTACTTTCTGCAAGTCACGGAACCAGTGAAGAGATAAGTTATGTCTTGCTTCTTAATTTGGAAAAAAAGGACTTTATTGAATTTCTTTCTTGAAATATGTTAGAGGAACATTCATATCTTGGATCATAATGGATGTTAGTGCATTAGCATAGATGCTTTTCGCTAGTGTAACAAAATAACTATATCCACACACGCAAGAGAACGCATATATGCGTTCCTTAGCTCACGTGAAACCTTAATGAGCTCCAGGCTCATATGAAACCTTAATGTTTGAGGTTTTAAGGTTTTTATATTTACAAATAGTAAATATAAATAGGAAATACACACACACACACACACACACACACACACACACACACACACACACACACACACACACACACAGCACAGACAGAATGTGGTGGAGGCTGACTCCATACACAGCTTCAAGTGTAGATATGAAAGAGCCCAGTAGGCTCAGGAACCTGTACATTAGTTGATTGACAGTTGAGAGGCGGGACCAAAGAGCCAGAGCTCAACCCCCGCAAGCACAATTAGGTGAATACAATTGTGTGAGTACACACATTGACTCTTGGATCCAAGAGCCAATGTTCGATCCTGCAGGCACAAATAGGTGAATACACACAAACACACATTCTTATCTGTCGATGTTTGCTGATGACGCGAAATTAATGAGACGATTTGTGATAAATAAAGATTATAGGATCATCCAAGAGGACTTCAACAAGTTCCAGAAATGGTCGGAGAAATGGCTACTGGAGTTCAACACGAGTAAGTGTAAAGTGATGAAAATGGGAATAGGCGGCAGGAGACCAAAGAGACAGTACACAATGAAGGAAAGCTACCTACCTGTGACGACTCGAGAAAGAGACCTGGGAGTGGACCTAACATCAAACCTAACTCCAGAGGCATATATATATATATATAGGATAACGTCAGCAGTGTACTCTATACTCTGATAAAAGTTAGAACTTCAAGAACCTGAATAAGGGGGCATTCATAGTGCTTTACACTGCCTACATGAAACCAGTCTTAGAATATGCCGCCCCATCATGGAACCCCCCACGATATGAAACACATTTGGAAACTGGAAAAAGTTCAGAAGTTAGCGACGTGGCTCGTCCCAGAAATGCGTGGGATGTAATATGAAGAGCGACTGAAAGAACTGAACCTGACGACGCTAGAAAAAAAAAGAGAAATAGAGAAGTATAAAATGTTTAGGGGGAATTTACAGAGTGGAAATAGAGGAAAAGTTCACATTGAATGCCGACAGAACAAAGGGCCGTTGGTGAAGGCCCGAGACTAAGATGAGTCGTAGGATGAGTCTAAGAGTAGGATGAGACTAAGATGAGTAGGATGAGACTAAGATGAGTCGTAAGAAAATTTGAGAGTAGTGGGAAAATGAAGTGAACTAAAGAAGCAGATTGTGCAGGCAAATTCCATTCATAATTTTTAAAAGTAGATATGATTTAGAATTAGGAGAGGGGTTATTGCTTTAAACAACCGACGGCTAGAAAGGCAGGGTCCAAGAGCTAGAACTTGATCCTGCAAGCATAAATAGGCGAGTACACGTACTAGAAAAACTCGACAACAGACTTGCTGAATTCTTCGAAATTAGATTTGCTTTGACCAGTGTAAGAAGAGCTGTTTTTTTTTTTTGTATAATTAAATTCGTCTCAGTATCTTTTATCATTGGAGGAATGAAATGTTATAGTATTTAATTTGAACTTTAGCAATTTGTCTTTGATTGATTCAATTTATTAACAATTTTGATGTATTGTTTAGCAATTCTTTATTCATTTCGTCCTCCCAAATAGAACGTCGCATTTTGACGTATACTTCACTTAAGGCCAAAAATCTTCGTACTAGAAAATGATAGCGACTCGCGAAATTGTCAGACTGTCCCGTTTTCTGCTTTGGCTCCTCTGGAAGGTTAGGATAAAGGGAGAACGCTAGCACGATAATTTATTGACGTTGGGAAATGTGAGGAGAACAGTCTGCTTGGTTAATGTAGCTTTGTTGTTTCTTTAGATCTAATGGTGAACACGGAGTTCTTCGAAACGTTATGTGAACTTTTAAATAAAAGTTCTATTAAGGACAACGGATTCCAATGTATTAGTCATCCTTTATATTATTTTATATATTATATTATATAATATAACAAATAATATAACAAATATAACTCCCCGTAAATATAACACAATAATACTTGAAAAGGCACATGTAAGTTTGCAATGAGGCTTCTTGCAAGATTGCTTTGGATGGTATTTGAAGAGATATTCACTTCTTCAAACTTCTTTCAGATTGGCATTGCACTGTCCGCTTTGCTCTCAATCGATCATCTTTCAACGTCACTTCTTTAAATTCACGTCACATCAGTGACGTATCAAAAGGAGCAATGCTTCTCAAAAGGAGCAATGCAAAATGACGTATTGACGTATTGAAAGGGTAATGCTTATCAAAAGTGACGTATTGAAAGGGTAATGCTTATCGAAAGTGACGTATTGAAAGGGTAATGCTTATCGAAAGTGACGTATTGAAAGGGTAATGCTTCTCAATTCCCTCTGATTTCAGGAGACTGATTCTCTTGGGGTAAGAGAGCGAAAATGCTTAAATCCTGGAGACTATCCCGAGATTCAAGCATTTATGTAACCTCTTACGAAACATGTTTATCTTTCCTTGATCATGGCGGCTTTGGTTATATTTATTTAACAGTTTATTTGAATCAATGTTACCATGGGCATGTGTGATTGGGGTAAGATTACCATGGGACAGGTGTGATTGGGTTGAACCAATGAAGCAGATTTACAAAATACGGATTAACCTTAAGCTAATCGTGCTTGTTAAGACGCAAATCTCCACCAAGTCAAGGTGGAGATGACCCGTAACTATTATTATGGGTCAGATCACCTGAAGCAGAAGTCATTGTAGTCATCATGAACTTAGTCAGGAAGTCCACACTCCCCCCACCCCCCTCCTCAATCCCAATCCCTAAAAAAATCACCCTTATATCCTCAAATCTTGTCAGGCAACATCAACCAATACTCATTTTCAGCAATGAAAAGGAAAAATAATCCATGCATGATTTGATAAATATTCACCCCCCCCCCAAAAAAAAAAACTAACCGTAACCATTCATCAATGATTTAAACATTCATTAGGTTGCCCCCTCTTCCATGTGCTGGAAACCTGCAGCTTGATTTTCAATAAAGTCAACTTCGGGGGTTCAATATGTTAGAGGGATCTTTGTTGACACAACCATTTCACTTTGAACATTCTGATGTACGAATGTGTGTGTGCGAGTGAATGTGTGTGTGTGTGTGTGTGTGTGTGTGTGTGTGTGTGTGTGTGTGTGTGTGTGTGTGTGTGTGTGTGTGTGTGTGTGTGTGTGTGTGTGTGTTATAGTACTACCTGAAATTTTTAAAATTATTTTAAATACCAGATATTTCACGGATCTCACAAGAATCAAATAAGGAAACCCAGCAAATAGCCGCGATACTGACGTGACAGTAATTTTCACTCCGACTTGAAAGACAGTATATAAGATGACAGCAAGAGACACAAGGAATTAAATGACATAGAAACCACAAAACACTAAATACAAAGAATAAACTAAAATAACCCTTATCCCGTTGACGGTGAATTTATAGAATCAAGGTACAGTGAATAAATTATTCACAGTTAGAATGATAGCACAAAAAATAAATTACAGATCTAAGGAATACATTACTAAATAATATATGAGAATTCATATGAAAGAGACACACACACACACACACACACACACGAGCCGTGGAATGTTTTGAGAGAATAAGGAGTAGAGGAGTCGATGTTTGCAGTACTGAAAGGTCTGTGCACAGGAGAGTTGAATGATTAATGGAGTGAATTAGAGAGAGCTCGGCAAACTCTCGCCAGTATATGTGTACTGTTCCCAACTACTGGCTGCACCTTCCCTTCGATTCCCAAGTTGGAGTTTGTGTTACTGCCTCCAACAATATTAATTGTTAAAGTATAAATCAATATAAAATTATCTACATTTGATGCCATTTTATTGAGTATTTATTTACATTAAAAAAATAGTAGGACCATGTCCTATTGATCCCTTAAAAATATTTGTACATTTGTTTTAGAGATTTTAATTGTGTGAGGAGAACTCCTTTAAGATAGAGACCAGTCTTAATCCTTGCTGGAAGCTGGGTATTATTGATGGATTACTCTCACGGAGAAGACATTTTATTGAGTATTTCAGACGATGCAGCGATAAACTTACTTTTGTAGAGGCTTTCTGTGCAAGATCATATATATATATATATATATATATATATATATATATATATATATATATATATATATATATATATATATATATATATATATATATATATATATATATATATATATATATATATATATATATATTCAAGATAATCTTGCAAGATGATTGGCATCCACGTTAATCCTTCTGGTTTATTGATATCCAAGTTAATCCAACAGATTTATCAGTATCCAGGTTAATCCTACAAGATTAGTAGCTTCCAGGATACTTCTGGTTACTAAAGCC